CCCACCATGATCTTTGTGTGTCCCCAGGTTGCTCTTCTGGTGGCTGCTGAGTTCTGGGAACAAGGTGATTTGGAGAGGACAGTGTTGGATCAACAGCCTATTGTGAGTGTTGCTTCCAGAAACCCCTGCCCTGACAGGAGATCAACCCCTACTGTGGTGCTGAGGACCCCAGGGCTCTGGAGTCCTTTAGTCTTAACGTGGCTTTGTAAGGTCCTATAGAGTGAGTGTGGGTGGCTCTGCATCTTGTAGAAGATGCAGGATGTGGGCAACGACAGACACATGGAGGTGGAAGTCATGGAAACTGGAGTGGGATAAGCCATCCAGGCAAGACAGCCCTAGGGGAGAGTGCAGGGAAAGCTACAGGTAGAAGTCCATGGCAAGGTAGATGCCAAGATAGTGTGGAGTCAGGACCAGCTGCTATCCCGATGACACCAGGATAGAAACTGAGGAAAAGTATACATAGGGCTGCTCCAAATCTGTAGGGAAAAGTTAGAAAGTTTTGTCTTGAAAGTCAGCTCTGGCCAATGTGAACAGCTGTCTGGAACAGGTACAGGTTTTGCAGAAAAGAGGGTCTTAGCCAACTAGCAATGTCTCATGGGGAGGACAGGCAGCAGAGCTGGTCCCTCTAGGACCTCATCTCAGTCCTGTGTGCTTCATTCTTGTCATGTAAAGCCCCAGGAGAAGGGTGACTGAGACAGGAGGGTCACTCAAGGTGCCCAGTCTGGCAACACCAAAAATAGCCCAATAGAACACATCTGGGTACTGGTCAGCTGAGTGACAGACCAACTGCTGTAGCCTGGGATCAGCACCAGGGACAGCGCCTCATGGAGCTGGAGACTGCTGGGGATTCACAAACCGGAGTCTAGGGCGGGGGTCTGGGCTCAGAATGTGGACAGGGCTTCTTGACAGCCGACAAGGGGTAGGACCTCTTGACTCTGCTTCCAGGACCAGCACCTGTGGGCTAGGTGTGGTTCCCCCAGATAAGCTCCATCTTTGCCTCTGCCTTCATCAAAGGAATAGAGCTGGGGGCTGGGTGAGGGCCTGACGAACCTGAAGTTATGGCACCTGTCTCAGCTGCCTCTGTTTTCCTTACAAGCCCATGATGGACCGGAACAAGGCAGCTGAGCTCCCCAAGCTGCAAGTCGGCTTCATTGACTTCGTGTGCACGTTCGTGTACAAGGTGCGCAGTCAGAGGCACTCTCTGTTGGCTAGGGCAGAGTGGCCAGGAGCAAGCAGGGGCAGGAACTAAACCCAGAAGTGCCCTCACAGAAGGGATGCTGTGTGGGCTTCACCCATATCTGATAAGGCAGACAGGGGAAACTATCACACCCAGCACCAATCCCAGTGCACAAAGCCTGTCCCCAAACCTGCTTCTGCCCCTCTGAAGCATCCCAACTCACCTCACAGTCTCACCTCAAACATTCCTGCCTTAATGGACCCCTCCAACCCAAGCTAGTACACTGTTTTCAGGGCAATGACTGCAGCCTGTTGCAGAACCCTTTTCTGGGTGTCTTTGAACCCTCAAGGATGGGCCTGCATCTGCCTGTCCCTGCTGGTGTCCCCTGCCTGGTACAACCTGCAGAACTTAAGAAAAACCACATTCCTGAAGCTGGTCAGGGACCCAATGCCCTGCCAAGCCTCTGAGCTCTACCATTTGACTACAGAGCCCTTGCATGATGCTCGTGTGATACCTCAGCTTCACACCATTCTGTTGCACTTGGTGTAACAAACCCCACACTGTAAGGAAGATGTTGTCCAATTCCAAGTGAAGTCAGCCCTGACCAGCTGGGCAAGCAGGACCAAGGACTCTCCTTTAAGTGGCCACAGGCCATAGCCCCTTGGTGGGCATCTGCTGCCTTCCTAGCCCATCCACACTGTGTGACATGCATATGCACATGTAGTGTGTGCATTGTGATCTGGATGTGTGTATGTGATGTGTGCATGTGGTTGCACACATGCAGTTTGTACACCTGCGATGTGTGCACATGTATCCCCTCCTCCTCTGGCAGGGTCACCTTGTGCTGCAGTCAACATTTTCTTCTCTATTCCTGGGACCTTCTCCCTGCTAAGACTATGTCATGAGCATTCACACCCTGAAGCTCACCCTTGCCCAAGTCCCAAGCCTGTCCCCCCTTTAGGACTTTGCTGGGAAAGGAACACCTCAGTGGCTCTCCCCTGTATCATAGTCAAGTGGGAGAGAAGGCTAGGACCAGCAAGGGCCCTGGGTGGGAAGGTCATCATCAAAGCTTGCCAGTAACAGCAGGACAGGACAGTGACTTCTGGTAGTTCCCTCCAGGAGTTTTCCCGTTTCCATGAAGAGATTCTGCCAATGTTTGACAGACTGCAGAACAACAGGAAGGAGTGGAAAGCACTGGCTGACCAGTATGAGGCCAAAGTCAAGGCTCTGGAGGAAGAGAAGGAGAAGGAAGAGAGAGTGGCAGCCAAGAAAGGTCTGGGCCCCTCACCATAGCCTGGGGCTGGCACTTAGTCAGTCCCCATGTCAGAGCTGTCAGGTGGCAGAGAACCTCCTTGGGACGGGCAGAGCACACTTCAGACAGCCTTATAACTGACACTGCCTCAGATAGGAGTACCCCTTCCACAGACACAGCTGGTCAAGCCATGCAGCTAGCAGACCCAGACTGAAAGAGTCTCCTCTCACTCCCAGCCAGAAACACTCATGTTCTGTAAAGGGGAGGTCAGTTCCCTAAACTCCAAACAGCCCTTTTGTCCTGCCATCAAGTGAGGTGCCCTAGTCGGGTGTGGGTGGTGGCCTACAATGGTAATTCCAGCCTTTAAGAGGGGAAGGCAGGAGGATCATAAATTTGAGGCCAGCTTGGTCTACACAGAAGAACCCTATCTAAAAAAAAAAAATCAAAATCAAAATCAAAATCAGTTCCTTATGTGAGGGGAATCTACTCTTGTATCCGGGATGCCACCATCAACAGTAAACCTAAAACAAAACAAAACAAGACACAGAAACAGAAAACAGTGAGCTCAACAAGAGTAAGTCTTGCAGTGTCCAGAGCATTCATTTCTTGTACCCTGGGTCATGGGATAAGACTTAGCTGAACAAGTTCATGCACCCCAAATCAGAAGTCTAATGGCTTTGACTTTGCTGGTGTTTGGCTAGCCTAACCCTGGGATTTTCTTGTTATTCCTGGTCTCCTGTACAATTAGGTGGGAGACCAACATGAATGAGGCAGCTTCAGGGTCACAGCAGGCCAGGACTGAGAGTAATCAGGGCATGGTGTCAGCAGAGCTAAAGCACTAAGCAAGGCTCAGCAGGTAATTGGCTTGGGCTGGCCACAGATCCAGCTCAGCCCTTTCTCCTGCAAGGCTCTAGTAAAGGACATGCAGCATGGAAGGCAGAAAAGGTCCTTACTCACTGTATATCTCTTGCAGGAGGCATGGAGATTTGCAATGGTGGCCCAGCACCCAAGTCCTCAACCTGCTGTATCCTGTGAGTCCTGTCCTGGGACTACCAGTACCTCCTGCCACTACACACTGGATGTGGACTCTACCTCTGGCAGCTTGGTATAAGAAGTTAGGAAGCAGAGAAAATGATTGAACATTTTTTATAAGCTAAAGCCAACTGTGAATAACTGAAACAGTGCAGCCACCACTCATCCATTTTGAATTACAGTTCCCACAGGGAGATCTTTGACAAGGGTCTGTGAACTGTCTGAAACCACAGTGGGACATTCAGAACTGCATATGATATATGTGTAGATAGGTAAATAGCATCCATGCATCTCATCTGCTTTTGTAGAAACGTGCCCAGGAGGGCAGAATAAAATAAAGAAAAATCAACTTGCCCACTTTTTACATGGTGGAATCATTGTGGAGGATGAGTCATATCTGACATCCTCAGAAAATTCTGCCGTGGAGGCCAGGCCATGAATAGTGATCAAATGAGAGTGGCCTGGGGGCGGGGGCAGGAGTGGGAGTGGGGTAACCTGTAATAAAACACCGGGATGGGACTTGCGAGAAAACAAGGATTAACTCATGGTCAGCCTACAGCATTTGCTCCCTATACTCAACTGGACGGAGTCACTCCTGGGTGGCAGGAGGAAAGGGGTTGACACATTCTGCACATCGATCTCTCTATAAGGGGGAACCAGTTTAATTTTCATCTTACCTCTGTGACCACTGGTGACAAGAGACTGTGAAGGAGCCAAGGGCTCCAGGCAACCACCAGAGAACCATGTGCTGGGAACACCAGGAGGCTACTGGGAACTGTCCAGGGCCCCTCCTTCACCCTCAGAAACCAAACAGGGCTTTGAAATGACTGTATGCTGTATCTCTTTACATTTGCAAATGAACTCACTTTACAAACAAATTTTAAAAAAATGGATCTCCAAGCCTAGAAAATTTGCTCAAGACTTGGAGCTGGGAAACAGCAACACCCACAGTCCACTCCAAACCACTAGGCCATGCTAACAGAGTGGTTCAAGTGGCACAGCACCTACCTAGCATGTGTGAGGCCCTGAGTTCAAACCACAGTACCACCAAAAAAATCACCAGGCCAGCTCTCAGCAAGTAGGAACCCAGAAGTCCAGCTGGGATGTCACAAACTCCTGCATGAGTCATCTCCCTAGGCTTCAATCTCAAGGCCAACCCAGCACCTCCATCTAGGGTAGGGCTAACTGGGGTAGAGGATCCAGTGTCCCAATGGTAAGGGCACCAATCTCCCCACCTTTCCTCCTCTGCCTGTGCAGGGGCCTGGGCTGCTGACAGAAGCAGGAGAGGCCAGAGCAGAGCAAACTGCACCCAAGAGGGGGATCACTTTATTTTGGCACCTTGGGGGGGTGGGGGTGGAGGGGGCAGACCAACATGCCCCAGATGGAAAAGACACTGCACTTTTGGGTACTTTCTGCCATGTCTGTGCGCTGTGCTTTGGGTAGGTGTCAGGTGACAACTCTTTAGTTCCTCTGAAACCCCCTTCAGCCCCCACCCTGAGGAGAACAGAATGCAACTCGTGAGCAGGAGCCCAGGCAGGCACAACTAAGGCAATAAGGAGAGGAAGGCAGAGAATCACACAACAAAGCTTTACTCATCCAATGGGGCTGGGAAACACGCTTGCTGGCGCTTCTCACTTTAAGATGCTGTCTTCTCGAGCTGAAAGGTCAGAAGAGACAATTCGACACATTATACACTCTCAGGCCACCTATGAGGACTTCAAGTTTCAGTTTTTAAACAATCCAGAAGTAATTCCAAGGGAACCTGACTGTGCGTCGCTAAAACCCGACCCTGGCTCTCCCTCCAGGTGCCGTGACTTGAACCTGCCCAGGGTCAGCGAGAAGCCTGCTCCGCGGTGCTTCTCTTGAGGGTGGTGGGGTGGTGGGGTGGTGGGGTGGGCCCCCACCCAGAGCAAACTGCCAAGTCCCAACCCCCTCCCAAGAAGGCTCCCGGAGGACCGACCGTGGGGAGCGCCGGCCCTTCCCTCCACTGGGCAGCAGTAGGCCTTGCGAGAAACCTGGGTGGAGGACTGCTGGAGATTAGACTCCATACCTTCGGCCAGCTCCTTCTCAATCCGCTTCAGCTCATCCTGCCTCTTCTTCTCCTCTGCTGCTATCCTCCTCTCCTCCTCTGCCCGAGGTTTGAGGTAACCTGGGGGCAGTCGATTAACTTCTTCCTTCCGCTCAAGGAGCCAGGTCTCACCTCAGCTCCCTTCACCTCACTGCGGGCCAAGGCCCGATGTTCGCCCTCGCTGCAGACTGGACCTGCCCAGCACCCTGGCTTTCGCCCTGAACCCCCACGGCCAGCCCCGCGCCCCAGGCCCCCACACTCACTGTAGCGCTTGGCTCCGTAGGCCATGCCGAGGACCAGGGCGGAGTAGCGGCCGAGCTGCAGGACAGGGCGTCAGAGCGGGGCTACCGGGGTGTGGGGGCGACGGGCGCGGGGCGGAGTCGCGAAGCGCCCAGGGGCGCGGGGCGGGGATCGTGGGACCGAGGGGCGTGGGGCGAGGGATCGTGGGGACAGAGGGGCGCGGGGCGAGGATCGTGGGGACAGAGGGGCGCGAGGCGGGGATCGTGGGACCGAGGGGCGAGGGATCGTGGGACCGAGGGGCGCGGGGCGAGAGATCGTGGGACCGAGGGGCGCGGGGCGAGGGATCGTGGGGACACAGGGGCGCGGGGCGCAGCCTACACAGGCGGGGGTCGCGGAGTCGAGGGCGTGGGGCGGGACACGCGGGGGTCTCGAGCATTGCGCGGCGGCCGCGAAGCCAGGTTCACCTTGATAAGCGGAGAGACTTGCACCGGGGGCACCATCTTGTCCCTGACCTTCGCACCGGAAGCACAACCGCGGGTTCCGGAAGGCCCGAGAGGCACTCGCACAGTGGGGCGTGCGCATGCGTTGGCGAACGGGAACGGGGCCGCGCGCCCCCGCTCGGTGGTGACGTATCGGGGCGTGCGCGCGCACAAGGTCTACTGCGTCTGCTCAGTGGCATCCTGAGCTGGCTGGGCATGGAAGGCGGCGGCGGAATTCCTTCCCGGGGAGGGCTGGGGCAAAGCGACCCACCTTCCAGCCGGGAGGGCGCGGCCGGTGGACGGGGCCGGGGTTGCGGACTGTACTGAGCGCTCCTGAGCCCGTGGAGGTAGCCGCAGGGCAGCGACCTTCTGGGCCCTTCCTGGGACTGCCCGCCCCTGGCGCACCCGCTACACCTGGCGGCGCGGCAAGGCTCCCTCGCCCGCAGCCCTCATCACTTACCTCCCCGTGATGCCGAGATGTCGACACCCGTCCCGGTTTTTGCATCGGCAGAGAGCACTCGGGCAAGATGGAAAACGTGGTGAAAGTGATAACAAGTTTATTAGGAAAGGAATAAGCTTTCGGTAGACGGAAAGTGGGCAGTCTCTAGGGTGAGAACAACACTAACTAGGGTTTGAGTACTTGTTGAGATTGCCCATAAGAAATTGCTATCCAAGGTCCAGCCTGCAGGGGTGAGGTCAAGACTAGGGTAGACTGTCGGGAGCCATGAGCCACAATCTGACAAGGTCGGAGACTGCAGGTGCACCACGTCTCTCACTGGGGTTTTGAGGAAACATGGAGAGGCTCCCTTTGTCTGGAGAAAAACATTAACATTAAGGTACTTGTTTATGAAAGGTGAGGAACAGGGCGGTATGTCCTTGGCCCGGGTTTTGTATATGTGAAACTAGGAGAATCCGAGTTTCCTTAATGAAATCAGGGAGTTTTGGAGGGAAGACATTGTTTTTCAGGTAGAGAGCATTGTTTCCCAGGCATAGAAATTCTCCTTGCTTGTATAACTTCCTGCTTTGTCCTGCTTATAAGCCTAATGCAAAAATAAAACATTTGCCAGTTTGGTCATCAGCCTTCTGGTCCTCTCCATTTATGTTTCGTCTGTTCATTCCTTTCCTGAGCCCTTTCGGGTCAAGAACCTCTGCGATCCCGGCAAGTGGCACCCCAAACAGGGACCCAGACAGAGGCTTAAGGTAAGGAAGGCACAGATGGCTGGTGCATATGTTTTAGCTTCAGTTTCAGGTTACCGAGCAACATTGAGAGAAATAGGGCAGCAAGAAAGTAAAGAGCAGGCTCTCTTTACAGAAATTTTGTGTTCAATGTTGCGTGGTGGAGGATGTAAAGTGTCTAAAAGTCAGCTTGAACTTTTGTCTCATGTCCAAAAGGTGTGTCCGTCGTTTCCTGATAAGGAAACCATCCATTTAAAAACTTGGGAAAAGGTTGGTCAAAGATTAAAAGACCATTATACTAGTGAAGGACCTACCTGTGTCCCAGTAGATGCTTTTTCCTCATGGAATTTAATTAGGGATTCTCTTGATCCACATCGTGAGGTCACAACTATTTCCTCACCTAAAGCTGAGATCTCAAAGTGGGAGGTAGATGTTCAAACTTCCCCATTTGTGTCAGATTGCAGCTCATGGCTCCCAACAGTAGACAAATGATTACTGGGTCCATTTGACCCATGTGGTATGGTTTATAGACCTAGGTATCCCCCACAGGGGTTTGAACTCCAAGTCCAGGCTCTTGCCAGACAGGCTACCACTTGAGCCATACCTCCAGCCCACTATTTTGATCTTAACAGAGACTAGACACCAGTGAGCTGAACAGTTTTTAATTACAGTGTTTTCTCTCAGATACCTTGTGATCTCTTCCTCCATTTCTGGTTCCCTTTGCATATCCCCATCACTCATGGCTAACTGCTACCAATTACCTGGAGGGGCTGGGGCCTTCCTTGGAAGGCCATCCCAAGCAGGGCTGCCCCCTGGGTCTCCCAGCCCAGGCCCTCAGAACCTCACCATCTGGAGTCCAAAGGCCCCCTTGATCCAGACCTTGTAACATCCCAGACTGCCAGTAGGTCTCTGCCCCTTAGAATGGCTGCCTGTTTCCTATAACCTGGTCAGGCACTACCCAGAGAGACAACCAACAGTAGATGAGCACTCTCCTGGCTATGCCTAATGCCAGCAACACAGCCCCTATGAAAGTCAGGCACAGCAGGGTAGTCTACCACTCATCAGATCACTTTGCTCCAATGCCCAGAAGTTTGCTGTTACTGAAACTTCGGTTACCTGAGCTCAGTGTCAATAAAAGCAGGGTTTTGGAGAAAATGAAATTAAGGTTTATTAATTTGCCAGCAAATTAAGATATGTAACATCCCAAAGACTGTAGACCCATCCTAAGGATATCTCCCTTTAATGTCAACATCCATCTCCCTCCTGTTAAGGCCAACATTCTAAGGTTGAGTCTTGCTAACAAAATATTTCCTCATGGGAAATTGCCATTGGCCCAGCAGGTGATGGCTCAGTAGGTGATTAAAAATATTAATCTTGTATTCCCTGACATAAAGTATTGAGAGGGGAGCCAGGTGCAGGTGGCTCATGCCTATAATCCTAGCTACTTAGGAGGCTGAGATAGGGAGAATCATTGGATGAGGTCAGCCTGGGCAAATAGTTCTCAAGACCCCATCTCCAAAATATCCAGAGTAAAATAAACGGGAGAAGTGACTCAAGCTGTAAAGCACCTGCTTTGCAAGCGCAAAGCCATGAGTTCAAACACCAGACTCACCAAAAAAAAAAAAAAGAGAGAGGGGAAGGAGAGTAACAGAAAGGAGAAAAAGAAGGTTAGACTTGAACATTTGGGCAATTGAGGCTAGCTATAAAGTGGTTTAGTTACTAAAATTGTGACAATAAGCATATTTAGTTGTATGCTTATTACGTTTTCCCCATTATCAGTTTTTGCCTTCCACTTCTGCAGAAAAGGCTACTTCCTCCTGAGATTGGGTGATATTAGGAGAATTTTCTGATGGAAAGTAGTCAGGAGTTAGTGTTTTTCAGCAAAAGCAGCTTTTAAGTACTGTTACAATGCCTCAGGCCTGCACTGCTGGACAGGAGGTTCTCCAGAACAGGGACTGGGTCCCAGGAAGGTTAATCCTCTACAGGAGTGGGGGAAGCCCATTTTCCTTACTGTTCATGGAATCCACATTTCCAAAGAGAATATAACTCAATCTAAAGTGAATAAAATACAGCAATGAAAACTCCAGGGCTCATGCTCAGTGTTCTTGGGGTGTGGAGGAGACGTTAGGTGCTGAGCTGACCTGGACACCTAGGAAAGGTGCTTTTGCCCTCCAGAGATCTCGCTGAACTTGCCTTGCCTCTCCGACTTGCTCTGAAGTCCAGGCCCTGGGCCTCCTGGACTGAGAAACTGGGATGTCCCTGGTTTAGGGACCATGATACCCAGGCTGCCTGGTCCTGTGGATCAGAGGCAGATCCCATCCTATCCTAACCCTTTTATCCCCTAGGGAAACTACAAAGAGACACTGACCCCAGAAGGCACAAAACAGACCGTTCACCCACAAGGCCATCTGCATACTCAGCCCCTCACATTCCTGCAGCTGATCAGGTGACCTCAGGTGACCAAGTAGTTTTCCCTTTGCTGGATTTTACACTTTTTTTTTTTTTCAGTACCAGGGCTTGAACTCAGTCTACACCTTGAGTCACTCCACCAGCCCTTTTTGTATTAGTTATTTTCGAGATAAGGTCTTGCAAACTCTTTGCCCGGGCTGGCTTCAAACCTCGATCATCCTGATCTCTGTTGTGGGGAGCAAGGACACACATGTGAAGGCACAATGTGCACACATAAACACGTGACACCTCAAGGAAGACTCCTGGTGCCTGCCTTGGCTCAAGATCCTTCATGGGGCAGAGGGACCCACCTGGCTCAAGACAACAGTGGGAAACCCCTGCTCCTGTTAGGGTCAGTGGTGTACAGAATCCCTATTCTCCTGGCTGTGCTGCTATCTTTAGTACTGAGCTCAGGCTTGGCCGGGACCCTCCCTGGGGGCTCTGTGGCCCTTCTCACATTCAGAGTTCACTCCTGCAGCCCACACTTGCATTGTCATACCCAAACCCACTCCTGGCCCTCTCTCCACCTCCCGTCCCCACACCTGACCATGTGCTCCCTCCTGGCCATCTCCTCCAGACCCTCCCAAGCCAGTGATGTTTCCCCAGGATCCTGCTTGAAGACTCCATTGGCTGTTGGGGTCTCAGTCAGCAGTACCTGGGAGGAAGGTTCTGTGACCACCTGAAACCCGGTGGGGGGGCAGGACCTCTCACAGTGGACACTGGCAGACATGCCATGAATCAGAGATAAGATGTGCCAGACATAGGGGCCACCCAGCTCTCAAAACCACACACTCTCCCATGTCCATTCACCGTGGTACTGAGGGCTGTGGCTACTTGTCTGACTTCTCACTGTTCTCACCCAGCTCAGATCTCACTCTCTAGGGGCTTGCTCTCCAGGCACAGTCAGGGTCCCTACCTACCAACCCCCATCATCCTGTGTGGCCTGCAGCCCACCCCATCTCTCCCGCATGCTACCTATGAGACCAGGGAGTTGGGGGAAAACCTGGGGGCCAGGCAGAGTCACGATATTCTGGGCCTGACCATCTCCAAGGCTCTTCCATCCCAGAAACATTATCCCCTGTGGTCCAGCCACAAGGTCACAAGGGGGCCAGCGTCATGGGTCCTGTTGACTTCACTGCCAATGAGGCTGGGAGGTAAGGAGGTGCTATCGGAGCCCTAACACGAAATGCTGGGTGAAAACTTGGACTACCCACAGTACCTTTGGACAGATCTGGAAAAGGTGCTCCTTCTTCTGGCATCTACAGTTCCCGTCTGCAGAACCCAGGCAGGTTCAGACCCCTAGTTCCAACAGTGCCCAGGCACCCAAGCTCTGGCCAACAGCATAGTTCTTGGCCCTGGAGATACAGCAGCCTCAGCAGAACAAAGCCTCCTCATGCCTGGGAGGGCTGGGAGGCCAGGGGTGGGTGTCTGAGTCACCACCTGACTTTTTGAGCTCACTCTGCAGTTGTCCAGTCCTGTGGGGTGGCCCTAAGCCTGTCCTTGTAGGAAATGACAGCTGAAGTCTGAGCTTTCCTGAGGAACCAGGCAGGCACTTTATACAGGTGGGACCTGGCTCTGGGCAGAGAGGACCCAGGCATGGTAAGTGGACAGCCAGGCAGACCACTGGGCAGGGCCATGTGACAGTGTGTGCACATGTGCATGGGTGTGTTTGTACATGTGTGTGTGTGCTCGTGAATATACACACATAGGTATGAGAAGTACATGCCCTACAGCTGCCATGGTCTGGGCAGGATGAAGGAAACATCATTTGGCCTTCAGGAACCCCAGATCCCCAGAACAACCATGGACCCCTGGAGTCCATTTACCCTGGAATTGCCTGAGACTGAACACAAGATTGTTGTGAACCCTGTGCTCTGCCAGAGCTTCCAGGAGTCCCTGTCCTCCCTCCCAACACCTAGGCATTGGACAGCAGGCTCCCCAGGCCTCTCCAGCCTCCTCTTGTCACCCATCCTCTCAGTTAAGTCTTCAAAATCATGGGGTGCCCCTGAGGATTCCCTCAGTTGCCCAGAGACGCTCAGCCATGGTTCTCCCACCTCAGGCCAGCAGGAAGACAAAGAAAAAGGAAAGTGGTGTCCTGTGTGTCCAAAGGGCATCCTCCAATGTCTTCTCCAACTTCAAGCAGACCCAGATCCAAGTGTTCAAAGAGAGGAGACTTTGCTCTTCCTCAGAGAGCTCCATCTGGTGCAGGAGGACCTGGTACAGGGGATAGCCTGCCTATCCCCTTCATGGGGCTGAGGAGCCAGGTGTGAGCGGCTAAGACGAGCAGAGCCAGGCTGCCAGCAGTGCAACAGGCCTGGCCTTGATTCCGAGGCATTCACACTCATGGATCAGAACCAAGATGGCTTCATTGACAAGGAGGACCTGAAGGACACCTATGCCTCCTGGGTAGGTGCAGGTGGAAGGGGAGCATGGCCCTGGACACCTCTGGTGCTGTTCTAGTGAAGGAAGAGCACCAGCCCTAAAGGCTAACCCAATGTTCTGTTCACTAGAGGGGGTTGGGGGACATCTGTGGCCTCCTCAGGGAGTGGGAATGGCTTCTTGGCATGTTCAGAGCAGCAGGTGGTATAGAAGGTGGACAGGGCAACCTGGAATGGACTTGGGTAGAGGCTTCAGGGAGGTGCCAATCCCCTAATAGATGCCACAGCCAGCCCTGCCTCCATACCTACCATGGGACGCTGTTCTTAGCCTGGTGCAGCCTGAGGCAGAAAGGCAGAGGGCTTCCAGTCCTGCCTTGGTAGCTGGGAAAGGCAACCTGGTTTCTCCTTGGGTGGGGGGCAGGGGGTTTCCAGGACAACTAGTCCTCCCTCTAAGCCCTCTTATACATGAGGACAGAAAACAAGTCCTCAAGATGTCCCAGCTCTGTGCCCCCTCCTGTCCTCCATAGTAGCTGATGTCCCTAGTTCAGGGTTTGAGGGCAGTTGATCACCCCAGCCCATACCCCACACACTTGGGCTGAGGTTCCCCTCCCCATCTCCCCTCTTTGTCTCCGTGTGCTGAGCACTGTTCTTGGTCACCCTGGAGAATGACAGGTGGGCAGCTCAGTAGGGTCACTTGTCAGTGTCAACAAGGACAGAGGGGCTGAGGGTGACTTTCCTGCCCCAGCAACCTTTTCCCCTCTACTCTCATGTCTACAACAGGCAAAATTAATGTGGAGGATGACAAGCTGGAGGTCATGCTTAAGGAGGCCTCAGGGCCCATTAACTTCACCATGTTCCTGAACCTGTTTGGGGAGAGACTGGTGAGCTCCTGGCCCTTCGGCAGGAGTGGTAGTCCTGGAAGTCAGTTCCTAACACTTAGAAAGCCGTACTTTTCCCATCTCTCAAGAAGCTTATCCGTGACCCAGAGGCACACTCAGCCTCCAACAGCCAAGCTGTTGGAGGCCTCTGTCCTTCGTTCATGGAGCCCTAGCTCTCAATTGCAGTGCTGGCCTGCCCCCTTGAGACCCTAAGAGTAGTTACGCCAAGGTGGGAATTGACAGGGCCTCCCTGGATCTCAGGAGCAGGAAGGCCTTCCAGGCAGAGTGCTTGAAGCCCTGGAGCAGGACAGGACACTAAAGGCCTCTTTGTGGACAGACCATCCTTAATGCCTTTAAGATGTTCAAAGGCAAAGGCAGCATCCACAGGGAGTAGGGAGTGCAGGTTTGGGAAGAGTCTGCCCTGTTGAGGGTCTGCAGCTCCTGGACCCCAAGCCCGCTTCCAGGGCTTCACTCTAGGGCCTTGGATGACCTCCAGACCAGAGTCTAGTACCCATTTGGGGCACTCATGACCTAGGCAGTCATTGTCTCTAGAACCATTGCTCTGTCTTTAGTCCCTTTTATAGAAAGTTATCTTGCGCAGGGCACTGGAGAAAGAGAATATTATGGTGTCCCAGGCACTTCCGTCTGCCCCATCAGATACCCCCAGACAAGACCCCAGGAGTGACCAAAGTCAGGACGGTCTCTGATGACCACCAAAGAGGAGTGCAGACAGAGCAGGCCCCTCCCTCAAGCCTCCCACCCGACAAGCTGCAGTTGTGAACTCACCACCCCTCCTAAGGCACCCTAATTCAGCCGGTTCCCCTTCTCAGCATCAAACACCTGATGATGATGTCTCAGGCTGACAAGATGACAACATGTGAGGTTAGTGCAGCCCAGCCACAGCCTCTCTTTCCAAATCTCTGCAGGCCCAAGCATGGCAGAAGGGCAGCTGAGGGAAGTGGGGGCAGGCTGAGAGGACACTCAGAACAGGCCCCTGGGGGCTGGCAGAGTGGTTCAAGCATGAGGCTCTGAGTTCAAACCCCATACTTGGGGGAGGGGTCACAGAACAGGCCTAGGGTCTGACACAGTGGCCCTTGGGATGAATCTCCTGAAGGAGGTTGAACTGACTCAGTAGGCAAGTCAGGTTTGGAGGCCACTCAAGCCAGAGAAGTCTCTCCTGACCTGCGAAACATGTGCCCCTTCCACCAGTCCCACAACCTCCCTGTTCCCTCCCCACCCCCGCCCCGCCTCCTGGAACCCCTACTCCTCTCCCACATATTCTACATGGCCCTCCTCCTTGGTTCCCAAAGGCATGAGCTGAACACCAGCGCACTGATGACCAGCTCATAATTCAGGGGCAGATTAGGGACAGGGTCAGCCCTAGAGCTCAGCAAGTCTGTGCACACCGCAAAGCCGCACCAGCCCCTCGCCCTCATCCCTCCTCCCCGGCCCTGCCCCTCTGTGGATGCCCCAGCTCTGCGGCCCCGCTCCCTCCCCTGCGCAGAGACAAGACGGCCTTGGAGACCCAGGGACCTTTTCACTTCCCCCTCCCGCCTAACTTCACTCCCAAATACCCGACCAATCCACTTGCTTTTAGGTGAACCAGACGCTGGAGATCACCTCCATCGACGACGAGCGGGCAACATGTACTGAGCTATGTGCTTACCCATGGAGAAGAAAAGGAGTGAGCCTCCTGCCCCTTGGGCTACGGCCAGTTCAATAAACATGAACCCACAAACCTGCCTCCAAGTGTCCGCTGGGGGAATTCATGCATCCGCCTCGGGCCCTTCTGCTCCCCTGCAGCCCATCCTGGCCCGCTGCCTCAGCATTGCCCTCGAACCAGGCTCTAGGTCTGGTCACTCCATAGTGAGCAGAGTGGAGAAACTCTAGGACAGGTTCCTGGCAAGGTCCTCCCACACCTGTCCACCCCATACTGGCCATGCTGTGGCCCTCAGGACTTCCAGCCTGTGCAGTTTCCCCTTCAGCCCCTCCTCCTCATTTCAGGTTGCCCCTGCTCATCAAGCTGCCCCTGCATGGGCCCTCCCTGCAGTGGCCACCCTGGGTCTGGTCTGGCCAAGGTCCATCTTTCCTGGTCATTGTCCACATAGCAGCAGCTTCTCTTGCTCCAGCCACACGGTCTGGCCTTGGTGGCCAAAGGGGTATCTTGCCATGCTCTGGATGTGCCAAGGAACCTGAGTCCCTGTCGGGGCTGACAGCATGGTTGGCCCAGCCAGGGTGATCCAAGCTGCCAGTCTCACCTCCCCTTCAGGACATGTCTGCTGTTATAGTCTACTAGTTCTGAGAGTTGGGGGAGGGCCAGGAGCTTCCTGCAGGGTCTCAGCTGGGGGTGCCAAGCTGGGAGACTCCAGGGGTGACTGGAGTGGGGCTTGTGGTATTCAGCTCCCCAGTGCATGTCTTGGATAGAGGGGGCCCTTCAGATTCAGCCTGCAGGCGCCGGTACGGAGTGTGGAAAAAGAGCACCAGTACACAGGTGAAGAAGGTGCACAAGCCAGCCAGCAGCAGCAGGGACACTAGGGACACAAGTACATCCATGTCTCACAGCAGCCCTAGCAGCTACAGCCCCAGGCACAGCCCAGCCTGGGTGGCTATGGGCAAAGCCCTAGGCCGTCCTAACCTAGTTGACCCACAGGCCACATGAGCAGCCTGGAAACAGCCCTGTGCGCAGCCCCTGGCAGCCTGAGAGTGTTCACTGTTCACAGACACAGGTTCCAAGAGCCATGCTCTTGAAGTCATCAGCATGAGGAATGGTGACATGAGTGTGCAACACCACCCTGGTCTCTGCTCACTCCCATCTCTAACTTTCTCTCTCTGACCCTGTCTCTTGTCTCTCTGTCTCTATCCCTGTTTTTCTCTTTCCCCGGGTTTTGAAATAGCTCATAAGGGGGTACTGAGGCTGAGTTTCTGTCGGGGTATTTGAGCCACACCCACCAGCTAAATGTCTTTGACCCCACTCCACAGCACCTCTGGGACCCACACTCACCCCCCAAGGACAGTGAAGGGCAAAAAGAGTTAGGGTTGTGGAGGAGAGATTCCAGAGCCATCCCTCCAGCCCAGGTCTCCTAGCCTCTTGTCCTCCACTCTCAGCCGCCAAAGACCTGGGTGTAGACACTCACCTGTCCAGTCCAATGGATCCTCACCCTGCCGGCAGGTGGAAAAGGACGGTTCTGTCTGTCGCACGGCCAATGCCGTCAGCAGCACCATAATGAGTACACCCTCGGCCTGCCTGAATATGGATACACAAGGCCCTCAGCCTGGACAGCTGCACTGCCCACCCAGCAAAGCTGAATGCCACTTAGGAAAGGGCCAGCATCTATGCTGACCAGTGTGCTACCTTCAATCCCAAATTCACATGTGCCTGAGAAGCTGGCCCAGGCCTGCACACAGCAGGTGCTCAATACATGCACAGCCTTGGCCAAAGCAGGCAGATTACTTGCTTTGTAGAACAGCTTGGGCAGGGCAAGGGGAGGGCCTCTGGGCCTCAGGGGAAGGAGTCAGGATGAAAGGATACTCACCCCAGGACAAAGACCAGGCCTGCTGCTGCACCCTCACCAACAGGAAATGAGCACTCAATGGCCAGCTCCATGGCCACCGGTGCCACTGAGAAGCCAAAGAGCCCAAGAAGGGAGCAGATAGCAGCCAGCGCAAGGGTCTGTCCTTGTAGCCGGGACACCTGGGAGAAGGAAGATGGCAGAGGGAGGGATTTGTGGGGAGCAGTCAGTCGAGCCACCACCCCAACAAGCTCCTGAACTGGGTTGGGGTGTGGGCAAGGAAGCCCCAGCCCACCCAGGGCCACCCGGCAGGCAGAGGACAGACCAGAGTCAAGGCACCTGCTCTGGCCATGCCACTTCTGTCCCATCTAGCCTTCACCACATCTGCCTACCCAGGGCATCCTCTGCCCCTTGCAGGGCGGCCTCAGCTCCAGGGGATTCTCACCAGGGCAAAGGACACACATGCCAGGGAGGTCAGGCAGAGGCCTATCTTGGTGGCCTCAGTGAAGTGTTTAGTTCGATCCACATACAGGCCAAGAGCCAGTGCACCCAGGATCCCAAACATGATGAAGAGAGCCCCACAGAGACCAGAAAACTCCTAGAGGAAGAGCAGAGAGGGAGATGAGAAGGAGGGAGAGGAGAGACTTGGCACTTTCACCAGGGAGGGAGCTTACAGGGCTTCTCAGAACCTAAACTATAACCAGGGTGGAACCAGAGGCCCAGGCTGGACAACACTGTTGGCTGCCTGACAGGTGGGTTTCCTACACTGTGCATCCACTACAGAGAAGGTCCTGTCACCACAGATACTTCACTGGACATCAGTGTCCAGGAACCCTGGGCAGAGGTAGAAACATATCCCCAAACCCACCCCCAGCACAAAACCAAAGAGCAGAGGGCATGACTCAGGGATGCGTGACAGCTATGACTGCCACTTTGACCAGGAGGATGTCAATCTCATCCCCATCAGAGATGGACGCTGAGTGCTTGGAGGGCAGTGGGTGACCCCTGCAGAGGCAGAACCCCTCTCCCTCCATGCAGGGCTGGGTGCTCACATTGGAGTAGCCATTGGCACAGAGGATCTGCTCCAAGAGAGCCGAAAAGCTGGAGAAGATCCCAATGCCGCCCCCAAAGCACACGGCCAGGATGACGTAGGCCTTGTTCCGTACCAGCTGGAAGGGAAGGCACCTCTCAGCCCAGGAGTGCCAGCAGGCTTCTGACCATGGCCTTCCCGTCCCTTGGTCTGTAGTACCCACCAGCTTGAGCCCATGCAGGAAATTCTCCGAGGTGGAGCTGATGGCTCCTGCAGAGGGTGGGGTAGGAGGCACACTCTCCCAGAGGCAGGTGGTGGCTAGCAGGCAGGCAAGAGCTGCAGGTGCAATGTAGATACCAAGCTAGGGAGAGGATGTGTGTCACAAAGATGCTATGCAGATGCATGTACCCCACATGCCTAGGCTTGCTCTGGGCCCAGGTCCTCTTGCCCTCTTGCTGGCCATCACTCACCTTTAGTCTCCAGAGTCATTGATCCCATGTCCTGTGGTAGGCTGCCCTCTCCACCATCACCTGCTCCAGTGGGCTTTATGTGGAGCCCAGCTTTCAGAATACCACTCAAGGACAACTCTGCCTTGATAAGGGAAGCCTGATCTCCCAGAGTTCAGACTCAGCCCCTAATGGCCAACTTCACACCAATGTAAGAAACAAGTTATGCTGACATACCAGTAGTATCATACTGACAGATGTGGGTACACAGATATACCACATATCCCACGACACACAGGTACACACCCCATACATACATACAACAGACACCACATACATACACAAGCACACACAGCACACATGCACCTTACAAGCCCCTCACCATCATTGGGATGTCCTCTGCCTTCTTGACCAGGGCAGGTGAGAGCACATTGGTCACAAGGATTCCCAAAGGGTTTGCTAGGTGGACAGGCAGACAAAGAAGGGCCTTGTTAAGCTCATCTGTGGCAGGCTTCACCTTTAGCTTTCCTTGGTTCAGTGCTTTGGCCTCAGCCAGAGTGCAGGGATAGAGGACCTGCACACCCAGCCAGGGGCCAAGGGCTAAGCCCAGGCAGCTGAGGCCTCATCCCAAAACTCACACATGGTGCCGATCATGTTGGCTGTGGCTCGCTGGTGCTCTGGAAACCACAAGGCAGCCAGCTTGGCTGGAGAGAAGACTACCAGGGTCTGAGCCAGAGCACAGAGGCTCTGGCCGCTCATGAAGAAGGCAAATGGGTCAGGAACCCTGACAACCACACAGGGCAGGAAGCGCAGCATACTCCCAGCGAAGTTCAGCCATGCACCCAGGATGGTCTGCAGGGACAGATGCCCATCCTCAGCCCACATGGACAACCAACTTCCAGCCACCCCACTGCCCTGGCAGCTCTGCTTGGGAGTGTCAGCTGGTAGAGCTGGTGGACTCTGGTCTGAGAGGCAGCCACACCCAAAAGCAGGGACCCACCCGCCCTAGAACAGGCATGGTGTGGGGTTTGACTCACAGCCCCTCGGAGTCCCACAGAGTCCAGAACCCAGATGGCTACAATGCCGAATGGAATGGACACCACAAGGTAGATCAGCGACAGCCAGTTGATCTGGTCCATGGACAGGAAGAAGTGTTGGGCGATGGTGTCTGCCACAGGTGCAAAGCTCAGCCACAGCTGTGGGACACATGGGAGTCAGTCCAGGGGCCACAGACATTTCCCTGTGTCCCCCCTCATGGCCAGCCCAAGGAAGGAGTAGGAGTATTGTGTCCTTGGGGACACAGCCTAACATGAACTCTGGATCCTCCTGCTAGAGATGACCTCACCCTGTCATCTCTCAGGAGGGCACCTGGGCAGCAGGTGCCTGCACAGCCTGCCCAACAGTGGACCAGCCTGAGGGGCACACACAGAGGCAAACAATCTGGCCAGAGCTTGTAAGCCTGCCTACAAGCCCCACCGGGATTGACCTTTCCTGCCAAGGTGGCTAAAGGCTATCAGCAGGGGAGCACCCACCATCTAGGAGGTGCTGTATGAAAGGTGGACAGAAAGGGGGGAGGTAGGCAGTTTGTCTGTGGACAGGGAGCGACTTTGAGGCCAGAACCTCAGAGGGTGGAGTCACCTGGATGTAGCACTGGAGCATGGAAGGTAGAAGAAGAGATATCAGGGTAAAAGAAGATGATAGCCCTGGTCCCCAATCCCACGGAGAAGTAATGAGCTGAGACAGCCAGATAGGGAAACACTGTGAGTTTTAGTGTGTGGTGGAAACCTCAAGCGAGAAGTGGACAAGGACAAGAGGCGTAGGAGCCAAAGCATGAGTGGTGCAGTAAGCAGCATAAGCAGAGAGCCAAGGAGGGGCTGAGCTGGGATGAGGACAGAGTTGAAGGTACAGCAGAGCTCAGAGCCTGGGGAGTTGGGGAGGGGGTCAATGGCACCTCTGTTTGTCTGTAAACTTGGTGGATTGAGTCTCAGTGGAAACACCTGAATTGTGTGGTGTCCCCACCCTACAGGAGACCCAGGTTTGGGCAGCTGAGGACATCCCTGGGCAGGCAATATTCTCCAGCCTTAAGCATTATCAAATGCTGGGACCCAGCCCCTACCCCTGCCCCACACTCAGCAAACAACACAGCACACACTGGCTTTCTGGAAGAGATAAGGAGAGCCAAGAGGAGAGGAAGAGTCACTAAGGGTTAGCACAGGAGGGAGGAGGGTGGTGGTGATGGACCAACAGCAAGGGTGTGTCAAAATTCAAACTTCCTGATTAACCAAACTCTGATGATGACAGAGCTCCAGGTCACACCCTTGGTGACTGAGCAGCAAAATCCAGGCTTCTTGACCACAAAACCTCACGTGACAGCAAGCCTGGCAATGACTACTTTTTGTTCCTTTTCTTTCAAGGGACAAAGCCCTCAGGCTCAAAAAGTGTCTCATGTAAGTGCGTGCAGCTGCCTCTGGCCTGCCCTCACTCAACAGAAAGGAGACAAGACATCTGTTTACAGAGCACATCCCTCTCCAGCCTTGAAGCTCAGCCCTGGCCCCTCCCATGGCCAGACAGAGCACAAATGTGTCTAGCATGTGCAAGACAATGGATGTGGGGAGGACGATTTGTCCAGCTCACCCACTGAACATGAACACCTTCAGCCAGTGCCCAGCCTTGCCCCAGCTCACCCCTTCTTGTCTGTCTGGGTGTGTGGTGGCCGCTCCATGGACTACCTGACAGAACTCAGAGCTGTCTCCCAGCCTCATCCCAAACTTCACTGTGCCTACCCTCATGCTGCCCTCTCAGAACCCAGGAGCCAGGGCTACAACTGCAGATGAGTTGAGTGGGTTCTCCAGGGAACCCACCTAGACATATTAAATATGGAGCCCAGTGCCAGGGATCACAATCCCTGGTGTCAGGGTAAATTGCTCCATTATGACAATAAGACATCACCAGAGTGTCCCAGGAACTTCCCAGATCCATGGAACAGCTCCAGGCCAAAGGAGATCCCTGTGTGAGTCCTCAGAAGACCCACCGGAATCTGTCTGGGCCCTGGGACTCAGCCTGTAGGCGTTTTCAGTACAAGGGCAGCAGGCAGTATCTCCACTGACTGGCTGCACAGTCACTCGGAGAGTCGGATGGTAAAAGGTGGCTTCAAGCCCTCCCTCCACTCAGGTGCGCTCAGGTGCCTGGATCTGGCTAAGGTACAAGGGGTGGCCTGGCTTTGTTGCTGAAGCCCCTTGGAGAAAGGCTCCTCTCCCGGGCTGGTTCCGGGCTGACCTGTGTCCTGAAGCCAGAACAGACATTTTCCCTCTCCTCCTGGCGTCCAGCCCCGTCCAGGAGAAGGCACAGGGGACGAGGACTGGGCACGGGACACCAGCGGCGCTGGCGCTGCGGGAAGTGGAGCGGGATCGCTCCACGTGGACTGGCCCCGCGCCCCACGGCCGCCCGCCGTACCATGGCGTTGGAGCAGCTCAGCAGGCTGACCACCAGCAGGAAGACCCAGCGGCGCGCGTAGACGCGGGGACCCCGCGGCCCATCCTCCGTCGTCCCCGGCGCGTCCCCCATCGCCCACGGGCTGCCAGTCCCTCGCAGACTTCAGCACTCAGCGCGCGTGGGCCAAACACCCACGGAGCAGGGCCAGGCGGCGACTGGGGTCAGCTCCCGCCCCGAGGACTGGGGGTGAAGCGACGCGTCGGGTGGGAGGGGCCAACGGCTGGAGTTGAAGCCTCCCTTGTCAGAGGCCGGGGTGGAAGTCCCCGCCACGAAGGGATAAAGTCCACTCCCGGGGCCACTTTTGTCGCACCTTGTTTTTTATAGCCCCCACCGTGGACACGCCCCCGGGGGCGGGTGCAAGAAAGAGGGCCTGAAGTCACTCCACCCTAGTAAAGTCTGCATTTCCTGAAAGGTATGGCAAATTCCTGAGGTAGGAAGAAACCACAGGCCAACCTGGAAGAGCAGGCGGGGTCAGATTGCAAGGAGTCATTAGACTTGCCTCTAGGGGAGGCAGGAGCTGGGGTGCAGAGACGATGGCTGGCTGGGGAGCCTGTTTGCCCTGTGCAGAGGGTAAGCAGCCTCCCACCCCCAACTGGGGGCTGCTATTGCTGTTTGCATCTGAGGAACAGCTGGAGAGCAGGTGGACCGGTTTTTGTTTGTGTAGGAGGGAGAAGCCAGGAAGTTGGGAGTCACATTGACCCTGGGGCTTGCATCTAGCTAGCTCTGGAGGAGCCCAGGGAATCCAAAGCCCGGCCCAGGCCAGTATAGGGTGGGATGGAGTCTGATCTGGTCAGAGGTAAGAGCCACATTTCCCCCAACAAACAGGCCTCTTGTCCCTCAAACATACCCCTGTGGTCTGGCTCAACAATACTCTTTAACTCTGTTGTCAACCTTGGATGATCCCACCTATCGTCCACACCTGAGCAAGCTCATTGTATAGTTCTAGCCTTTGGTGTGTTCTCGGCGTGTGTGTGCATGTCAGATAGAGTCACACATTCTGGGGTGAGGTTCTGTCCAATAACAGAGAAAATGAATGTCATTCAAGAGGTTCCCTGAAAAGGGAAATTGCACTCTATGAGACCACTGATAGGGCCCTAAGGTGTTCTGCTTCACCTTGTCTGTCCTCCCTCCTCCCTTCTGTGCCTTCCATCTCCTTTGTCTCTTCCTCCCCACCCTTTGCTTGCTTCTACCTCACCATTCACAGCCTTTTCCCCCAGGAACTGGCCCCTCACAGCTTTCCTCCATGCCTGGTGCTTCCTTTGGGTTTCAAACTTGAACATCCCTCCCACCCCCACACCCTTCCAACCCATCCTACATGGTCACATCCTTGTTGAGCTCCCCCTTCCAACCTTCCTCCTTCCACCTTCTCAGGGCTCTTGGGCTGAGTAGGTAAGTTCAACAAGGTTGCAGGTCACAAAAACAACCAACTGCATTTCTATAAACTATACCAACAAGGAACATGTAACAGTTCAAATAAAAGACACACTATATTTACAATCACTTCAAAGAAAATTAAATACTGAGATATAACCTTAGCAAAAAATGTGTAGCAGTTGTATGCAAAAATGAATACAAATGAAAGAAATCAAGAAACCTAAATAAATGGCGAGATATACCATGTTCATGAACTGGACTGCTATCTTGGATGCATAACTCAACAGTCTAAAAAAATACAATTAGAGGGCTGCGCCTGGCTAGCAGAGTGAGGCCCTGAGTTTAAATACCAGTACTACCATAAAAAAAAATCCAATTAGGAAATGGACATGACATGGGAAGGCAATTCAGAGAAGAGGATAAACAGATGGCAAATAGGAATGAAGAATTAACTTCATCAACTAGTAGGAAAACGCAAATTAAAACCACAATGAGATGTCACCATACAGTTTTCAGAATGGCCAAAATAAAAACAGTGATATCAGCAAGTACAGTTGAGGTTATGAAAAACAAGTTGGCAGTTTCTTGTAAAACTAGGCATGTAGTTATCATATAATACAGTGCCTGCAGTTTTGGGCATTTTTCCTTGAGAAATAAAAACATATTCACATAAAAACTTGTAGCAGCTTTATGTATGATCGTCAAAAACTGGAAACAGATTGGGCATGATGGCTTACACTTGTAATTCTGGCTACTCAGGAGGTGGAGATTGGGAAGATGGAGGTTCAAAACCAACCCAGAAAAAGGTTAGTGAGACCCCAACCTCAAACAATAAACCAGACATGATGGTATATGCCTGTCATGCCAGCTATGTGAGCAAGAGGCCACAAGTAGGAGGAACATTATCCAAGGCAATCGAAAAGGACTGGTGTTGTGTCTGAAGTGGTAGAGCAGCTGCCTAGAAAGCATGGGGCCTGAGTTCAAACCCAGTACCACCTCCCCCCACCCCGGCCCGAGACACACAAAACCCCAACTGGAAATACCCCAGATGTCCTTTCATCAGTGAATGGTTAAGCCAACTGCAGTACAACTGCACCATGGAATATTACTCAGTAGGAAGGAGCAGGTCATACACAAACAAGCCCAGATTACTCTCCAAGTCACTATGCCAAGTGAAGAAAAAAGGCAGTCCCAGTTGGATAGGCTTGAGTATTCCCCAGAGTTCATGGACAGTGTGGCAATATTGAGGTACAGGGACCTTTTGGAGGTGGGGCCTAGAATTACTTAGGTCATTTGGGGCACTGCCATTGGAAGAGATAAATGTAGTTCTCTAATTCTTGTGGGACCCCTTAGTTAGTTCTGAAGAGAGGACTGTTTTTAAAAAGAGCAAGACTGTCCCTTTCCCTCACCCTGGCTTCCTGTTTGCATGACCTCTCGCTGTAGCATACACTCCCACCACCATAATGCCATCTGTCAGGAGGCCCTCACCAGAATTGAGCTGATATCGGTGCCAAGCCAAATAAACCCCTTTTCTTATAAAGTTACCTAGCCACAGGCATTTCATCATAGTAATCTAAAATGGACTAACATAGCATTTATGTGGACTTTTTAGAAAGAAAATGTTTTAGCGCTAGAAAACAAATTAAAGGTTTCCAGAGGGGGGTGGGAAGTGGGTTATGAAGGGGCAACAGAAGAGTCTTCATAGTGTTGGAGGTATCTTGCACCTTGGCCATGGCAGTGGACATGCCAGCCTACACATGGGATATATGGGATACCTGGAGAAGCCAAGTGGGATGGATGAATGGCACCACACCATTCAGTGCTATGGTGCTCCACACTGTTCTGTGGAATGCTGCTCCTGGGGACACTAGCAAAGGATACAAAGGACCTCTCTGTGTTATTTCCTACAATGACTAGTGAGTCCACAACTACCACAAAGCAAGGAGTTTAATTCTGAGAATCCCATAACTAACATCCATTGGTTTATTGGAAACAATGACTTTTCCACTCTCCTGTTCAATGTAGCAGTTTTGTTTAAATCTCAGCCAGTGTCTTCGACACAAGCTGTTACTGCTGGAAACCAGGTATGGCATCATGCACAGATGTGTCCTCCTCAGCCAGATGCATACACACCTCTGAGACAGCCACATCTTGGAGACGTCCTTGGTGATCACATGAGGTGACCTGCTGTTTTCTTGGAAATCACCTTCAGGGGCTCGTTTGATATCCAACAGCCAGTTATGGCTAAATCTGTGATTTATCTTCCTTTGAAACCAAACACACACTTCTACCAGCATTCCAAACTAACATTAAGCAAAGCTTCTTAAGATACTATGTCTTCCTGAAACAGTACACAGTTCAAAATCAAGTTATTGAGAGCTGCTTTTGACAGGAGTGAAAGTTGAGGTCCCCTTTTCTGTGATGATGCTGGGTAGTTCCTTCCACAGGATTGTCAGGGGCCCATCCTGTTTATTTGCTTGGTTTTTAATCTGTTCTTCCCACAGAAAGTCAGGGATGTGAGGGCAGAAGCTGGTGTATCCATCCTGAATCCAACCCACATGCCTGGTATAAGAACTAGCCAGCACGTGCCCTAGAAAAACAAAGGTGATGGGGAGAAGAGCCTCTCCAGGCATTTCCTCTGTGGGTGCCCACACCTCCTGCACAGCTGTGTGGAGTCTCGCAGACCAATCTGGTTCCAATAGCACACCTCCTTCCAGTATCTGCCTGATGACTCATCTGTCCTTCCAGGGCCTAGCTGCTGGAAGCCCACTCAGGAGATCAACCCCCAAGCAGGATGGCTTACCAGGACATCAGGACCTAGACTCTTGGGCTGCCTCAAAAATGACCATCTGACTTCATCCTCATGGATGCAAAAAGGATCTAGCACAAAGCAGTTCACAAACCTTTGCTGGAATGTGAGCCTGTTTATTTACTTAACAAGGGAGGGCTCTGGTCCCTGTTGTCTGGGCTCTAGTTGGTCCTATAGAGAGGGCCCTCAAGTGTCTGTCTCCTGCCCTCCCTGTCCACCCCAGGGCTTACATAAACATCAAAGTGGAGGCAACAAGTGTCTGTAGTCCAGCTTACTGCCCCCTTCTAGGACTCCATGGCCCTGTCTGTCCCTGAGTGTGTGTGTGTGTGTGTGTGTGTGTGTGTGTGTGTGTGTGTGTGTGTAGTGTGAGATGGGCAATTTTCTATTTCTGTATTGTGTGTGCTGGAGATTGAACCCAGGGCCTTGTGCATGCTAGGCAGGTGCTCTATGTCTGAGCAACACCCAACCCCCATATCTAATGTTTTTGTGTGAGGTCTGATGTTCACCTATGTTGTGCCTGTGTCTGTGATGAGATTAGCAGACTCTAATTTTTGTGAACTTGGAGATACAGTAATGCCTGTGTGTTTATGAGAGTGTGTGTGTGTGTGTGTGTGTATGTAAAATGACTACATGTGAAGTCAGAAACCTGAAAGGCCTGGGCTCACAAGTTCAGCTACTCTGCCATAGTTTCACATGTGTGCTTGTGTGCTTACCAGGGGACATGACAGCCTGGGTAGAAGAAACAAAGCATTTGCTCCCAGGGCAGAAGCAGTCCATCTTGTACCGGCTCCTCAGCTGTCTCTATGGGGTGATGTAGAAGGTCTCTACGCATACCGTGGGGTAGGTTTCAGGACGGCTCTGAAGTCAGGAAAGTCTTTTCATCCTAGGGCTGCTGGTGACCTTATCTCCCTTCCAGAGAGAAGCCTGATGTCTGCTCTGAACTGTATGTTACTCTTCTCCAGGCCAGAGAAGGACATCTTTCTTTTTGGCCTTGGGGTCTCTGAGAGGGCTGCCTCTCAGCTCACTGTGCCTCCTAGATGAAC